GCCAGCAATTCCACTTCTGGATATATATACAAAAGAAATGAAAGTAAGATGTCAAAGAGATATATGCACTCCTATGTTTACTAGAGCATTATCTACAATAGCCAAGATATGAAAACAACAGATGAATGGATAAAAAAGATGTGGTATTATATACAATGGGATAGTATTCAGCCATGAGAAAAAAGGACATCCTGCCATATGTGGCAACATGAATGTACCTTGAGCACATTATGCTAAGTGAGAAAGACAAATACTGCATGGTATCACTTATATGTGAAATTCAAAAAGTCAAACTCAGTAGTAACAGCAGGTTTTTCATAAGAAATTATGAAATCCTGAAGAAAATGGTACATTTTTCAAGTGCTGAAAGAAGAGAACTGCCAACCCATAATTCTATATGCATCTAAAATACTCTTCAAAAATGAAGGGGAGGGCGCCTGGGTGGCTCAGTTGGTTAAGCAACTGCCTTCCGCTCAGGTCATGATCCTGGAGTCCCGGGATCGAGTCCCACATTGGGGTCCCTGCTCAGCGGGGAGTCTGCTTCTCCCTCTGACCCTCCCCCCTCTCATGTTCTCTCTCTCTCTCTCATTCTGTCTCTCAAATAAATAAATAAAATCTTAAAAAAAAATGAAGGGGAAATCAAGAAATTCTCATATGAAGGTACTCAGCAAATTTGTTGCCAGCAGACCTGCCCCAAAAGAATGACTAAAGGAATTTCTCTAAAAAAGAACAGAAACGATAAAAGAAGAAACACTGAAACATTTGGAAGAAACAACAAAAAGTACCAAAAAAATGAGTGAATCAAGAAAATTTTCCTTCTAATTTTTCTAAATTGTGTTTAATAATTGAAGAAAAATTGTTACACTGTCTGGTAATCCATTTATGTAGAGAAAACCCTTAAGAAAATTACCAGTGGGGAAGAGAAAAGGATGTAAGAGCATAAGGTTTCTACACTTCAATTAAAATGGTAAAATGATGACATTAGTTGACTATGATAAATTATGTCCATGTAATGTAATACTTACAGCAACCACTATGAAAGTTATAGAAAGATACACTAAAAAATACTATAGATGAATAAAGTAACCCACAGGAAGGGTAGAATAAGAAATCAAAATAAAGGGCGCCTGGGTGGCTCAGTTGGTTAAGCGACTGCCTTCGGCTCAGGTCATGATCCCAGAGTCCTGGGATCGAGTCCCACATCGGGTTCCCGGCTCAGCGGGGAGCCTGCTTCTCCCTCTGACCCTCTCCCCTCTCATGCTGTTTCTCTCTCTCTCTCTCAAATAAATAAATAAAATCTAAAAAAAAAAAAAAGAAATCAAAATAAAAGAAAGAGAACAAATTGAACAAAAAATGGCAGCCTGAAGCCCTATATTAAATGTAAGTAGTTGTACACCTGAAATTAACATAATGTTATATGTCAATTATACTTCAATTAAAAAATTTAAATGGTCTGTATACACCATTTAAAAGAGACCAACAGAATGGGTAAAAAAACATGACCCAACCATATGTTGTCTACAAGAAGCTCACTTCAAATATAATGAAATAGGTGGGTTGAAAGTAAAAGGATGAAAAAGGATATACCATATAAATGACAATCAAAATAAAGTAGGAGTGGCTATATGAGTAAGAGATAAGGTAGGTTTCAGAGCAAAGAAAAATAACAAGGGATAGAGAGGGACACAGCAAACCTAAATGTGTATACACCAAACAACAAACCTGAAAATGTAAGCAGCAGAACTGAAAGGAGAAACAGACAAATACACAATTACAGTTGGAGGCTTCAACCCTCCTCTCTCAAAAATCAATAACCCAACTAGACAAAAGTCAGCAAAGAAGAACATAACCCCATCAAAGAAGATATGATCTACATTTATAGAACACAATACCCAACAACAGCAAAATACACATTCCTTTCAAGGGCTAATATAAAATACACCAAGATAGACCATATCTTCAGCCAGATAACAAAACATAACAAATTTAAAGGAACTGAAATCATACAGAACATGTTCTCTGCACAGAACTGAATCAAACTATAATAACAGCAAAATAACGCGAATCTCCAAATATTTGGAAATTAAAGAACATACTTTCTAGCCATGAGTCAAAAAGGAAGTCTCCAAGGAAAAAAAATAACACTAAATTGAATGGAAATGAAAATACAACATGTCAAAATTTATATGACCCAGCTAAAGCAGTGGTGAGAGGGAAATTTACAGCACTGAATACTTACATTAGAAAAAAGGAAAAGTCTTAAATTAGTAATCCAACGTTCTACCTCAAGAAAGTCAAGAAAAAATGAGCAAAATAAAGTCAAAGCAAGATGAAACTGAAAAATAGAAAAAAAATAGAGAAGATAAAACACTGGTTCTTTGAAAACCCAATAAAATTGACAAACCTCTGGCAAAATTTTGTCAAACAAGCAAATACAAAAATTACCAATCGCATCAATGAAAGAAAGGCTATCACTACAGAACTTGATATCAAAACAATAATAAGATATCAAAACAATAATAAGAGAATGCTATGAACAATTCTATACATAAATTTGAAATTTAGCTGAAATGAACCAATTCCTCAAAAAGCAAAAACTACCACAACTCATTCAATAAGAAATAATTTAAATGATCCCATAACTATTAAGGAAATTGAATTAGTGATTTAAAAATTCTCCAAAAATATTCAAAGCTAGAAAGTCACTGGAAAATTCTACCAAAAATTTAAGATTAAATCAACACAAATTCTACACCTCTTTCAGAAAATACAGGAACACTTCAACTCATTTTATGAGGTCAATACTATCCTGATACCAAAATCAGATAAAGACGATACAAAAAAAATGGATACAGACCAATATCTCATAAATATCCCTCAACAAAGTATTAGCAAATAAAACCCTTAGTATACAAAAAGAATTATACACCATGACCAAATGGGGTTTATTCCAGGGATGCAAGGCTGGTTCAATATTTGAAAATCAATCTACGTAATATAGCATGTAACAGGCTAAAGAAGAAAACTTATTAAAATTTAATGAGACAGGAAAAGCATCTGACAAAATTCCCATTCAAATAAAAACTCTCCGCAAACTAGAACAGAAGGGAACTTCCTCAAATTTATAAAGAATACCTAAAAAATTATACAGCTAACAGTATAGTTAATCAACATTGAATGCTCTTAATATCAAGAAGTATGCAAGAATGTTCACTCTCATCATTGCTATTTAACATATTACTGAAGTTGTAGCCAGTACGATATGGAAAGAAAAGGAAATAAACAGCATACAGATCAGAAAGGTAGAAATAGTAAAACTATCCTTACTTGCAGATGACATAATGGTCTAGTAGAAAATCTCAGAGAATCTATTAAACAAACTCCTAGAACAAGTAAGTGAGTTCAGCAAGATCACAGGTAACAAGATCAAAACAAAAGTCATTGCATCTCTTCATACTAGCAATGAACATGCAAAAACCAAAATTATATCATATACAGTCATTCAGAAAAATAAAATATCTAGGTGTAAACCTAACAAAACAAATACAGGACTTATTGTTGAAAACTATCAACACTGATGAAAGAAATAAAAGATTCATATAAATAGAAAAAATATGTTCACAGGAGGTTCAATATAGTAAAACTATGAGTTCTCCCCAAATGGTAAGACATTTAATGCAATTACTATTACAAGCCTTGCAAGACAGTTGTAGATATATGAAGATTCTAAAATTTATATATGAAGGGAAAGATATTAGACTAGCTAAAACAATTTGGAAAAAGTAGAATAAAGTAGATTATCACTCAACCTGTCATTAAAGCTTACTCTAACAGCTACAATATTCAAGACTATGTGGCAATGACAAAAGGACAGACATAGAGACCAATGGAACAGAACAGTGAACCAAGAAATAGACTGATTTTTCACAGAAGTGCAAAAGCAGTTTGGTGGAGGAAGGATGGCTTTTTTAACAAATGATGCTAGAGCAAATGGATATCTGTAGGCAAAACACGAGAAAAAGAAAAAAGTGAACTTGACCCAAGTCTCACAATTTATAGAAAAATTACCTCAAAATGCACCTCAGACTTAAATATAAAATATAAATTGTAACATGTAAAACTATAAAACTAGAGCAAAAGAGAAAATCTGCATGAACTAGTGCTTGTGGAAGAATTCACAGACTTGACACCAAAAACATAATATATAAAATTAACTAGACTTGATCAAAACTAAAAACTTTTGCTCTTTTGAACAACCTTGTGAAGGGGATGAAAAGACATGCTGTAGACTGGCAGAAAATACTGGCAAACCACATACCTGACAAATGACTCATATCTAAATCACATAAAGAATTTCCAAAACTTCACAAAATGAGCAAAAGACTCAAACATTTCACTAAAGAGGATATACAGATAGCAGATAAACATATGAAAAGACTGCTCAACATAACCAGCCATCAGGGAAATGCAAATTTAAGACACAATGAGTTACCACTACACACCCATCAGAAGAGCCAAAATAAAAAACAGTGGTAACACCAAATCCTGGTGAGGATGCAGAAAAACTTGATCTTTCGTACTTTATTGGTGGCATTGTGAAAAAGTACAGCCACTCTGGAAAACAACTTGGCAGTTTATTAAAAAACCAGCCATTTACCATGCAACCTAGCTATCATACTCCTGGGCATTTATACTAGAGAAATGAAATTGTAGGTCTACACTAAACCTGTACACAACATTCACAGCGCTTTTTTTTTTTAAGATTTATTTATTTGAGAGAGAGAGCAAGCAAGCAGGCAGGGGGAGGGACAGAAGGAGAGGAAGACAAGCAGACTCCCTGCTGAGTGGGGTGCCCAATGCGGGACTTGATCCTAGGCCCCTGAGATCATGTCCTGAGTTGAAATCAAGAGCTGGCCACTTAACCGACTGAACCACCCAGGCGTCCCAAATTTAAAATTATTTTTTAAAAACTCTCTGTGCAAACAAAAAATGTTTCCTACCTCACATTAGTTTCATCATTAAATTCTTCAGCCCATTTTTTCCTTGACTGTGCAGTAGTAGAACCATCTAAACGGTAATAGTCAATGTTCCGCAGCCACTTCCCTTCACCTGAAAATTTAACAAAAAAAAGAAAAGAGAGATTTGATATATATTGTTCAGCTAGTAATAACAGATTTTCTTCCCTGCTCACCATTTAAAATCTGGTTATATATATTTTATTTGCATAGTAAAATATAAAATACAAATTTTTTTAGTCAAGGTGTAATTCACTATATTAACAAATAAATTCACCACAGATTTATTTCCAATAGATACTGAATAGCAAAGGTACTTTAAAAAAGTATTTCATCACTGGGAGCCGCGCACAGAGAGGGTCTGAGCTCGCACCGCAGAGGTGCCACCATGAGACAACTTGCACTGATATGTTGTTGATTTGTTCACATTGAACTCATGGCCAGCAGTGCTGTAAGTCATGCCTGAACCCAGACTGCCCGCTGTTCTCTGTAAGGTGCATCACAGCCTCCTGGTACTTAGGAAACTGGACAACACTTAAACACCAGCCGGAAGGCCACTTGAAACCGAAAGATTGCCACCAAAAAGCTCAAAAATGTGAAGACCATAACACTAAATAGGCTGTGGAACAGAAGCTTATTTACCGGATCAGAACTGAAACAAGAAAGAAGTAAGGTATCATCTTGTCCCACTTTGACTGGAAGTGTGTTTCTCAGGCAACTCGAGTTTTTTGCCACTCAGCACGTGTTGGCGAATAACTGCTGAAGTACCGCAAGTATTGATTTTGGAGTTACAAATAAATTTAGCAGAAAGGCAAATTCACAAATGTGGAATCCACAAATAACAAGAAAAAAAAGTATCTCATCTACATGTGAATTTCTTAAAAGATTTCCTTGATTAGAAACCTTTAACACTGTAAAAAGAATATGGTTAAACTGCATTATGTTCATGAAGCTTGCCTGTAATTAAATCTGTAAATGGCCAGGTTTTCTCCCTTATTAACAAGTTGATACTGATCAACTTTTGGACAGTGAGGTGAATATTTACCCAAGACTTACATTAAAACTAAAATACCAAATTAAGTACTTATGATATTTTTATATTTTATTATACATAATTTCCATTCCAGTTCTTTTAATTGTAAACATAATACTACTATTTCCCCTCCAGAGTCACATCCTAGAATCTTAACATAAAAACAAGAAGTTGACAAAACTGAGATTTAGATCTTTCAGCAAACTTTTTATTTAAATTTAGTACTTAGTTTAAAAGGTGCTTTTCAACATGTTTATTACTTACCCATATTTTTACTTATACTGAAAACTTGTAATTTCCTTGCTGAAAATTTGGCAATTGGTAAGAAAGTCTATTTATTTATTTGTGATTTTTATTTCTTTCAATTGGAAAAAAAGGCATAAGAGCTAAGGAAAAAAGAATTTGAGACAGATGGTTCGATAAAAAAGAGGCTGGAGTCACATTTCCATTAATTGTTCACCTAACAGGGTAATTATTAAAGTTAATATGCTAATCATAAATAAACATGGTGTTAATACTTTTAAAGTATTTCAACATACCTTTCTCTGATAATACAAATGAATAATCTGTACTACTACTTCTGTGAATCCAACACTTAAAAAGTAATAAAGTCAGCACAGGTTAGTCACCAGAATTATAGATTTTTTAAAAAATCACAGGTTCACCATTTATTAGCATTTTCATTTAGAAAATGTAAAATGTGTTTATCTTTAAAAATGGAGCTAGCTGAGCACCTATTGTATAGGGTTACTGTTTTTTAAATGAGGTGATATAAGAAAAAAAAAAAACCCTTAGAACAGTGCCTGTCACACAGTAATTAAGCTCACTGAGTACTTAATATTATCACCCAAGATCCCACATCAAATTGTATCTGTCTCTACTAGGGCACATTTATATGTGATCATCTCTATAACATGATTTCCTGTAATACCCTTGAACCTAGTTCAGTGTCAAGTACACAGCAGCAGCAGCAGCAGTAGTAGTAGTGATACAAAAGACAAACTGAACTGATTAATAGTTAAAACAAATGTTTGTTGAAGATAATTTATTAAATTAAATATAAACTAACAACCATATGGAAAAACATTCAACCTTGCCAGTGGTCAAAAAAGTACAAATTAAAACAATGACAATTGTTTTTACCCATTAAAGATGGGGAAAATGTAATTATAGTACTACAGGTATATAGTACAATAGGCATTTTCCATTTATTCATGATAGTAGAATAAATTGATAGAACTTTTCTGGTACTTTGTCTTTCAGATAATGAAGCACTGCCAGAACACAGAACTGAACTAATAAAACTAATAATAGATAACAGAAAAATCCATTGAAGCCAACATTATACTTAACCATACTCAAATCAAGGCATACATATATACACTACCCATATACATGTTAAAGACATATCAATAAGGAGGGGCCTTAGAAACAAAGAAGGGGGTAGTGATAAAGATTAAAAAGTGCCAGTGTATACCTAGCACTTAAACGTAATGGGCACATAAAAAATGCATCACCAGAGCATGATTCTCTATGGAAAATAACTAAAGAATATCCAGGTAAGGGCAATGTATTACCCTGCCAGTTCAGCAAACATTTACTATGGACCTACTACATGTCCAGTTCTGTGAGGGACATCACTAAAGCCTTGCCTGATCAATTTACATATTGTCCCCCAAAACTGCCTATCGCCTTTAAAATATTTCATTATTTCTCCATTGCATTTTTAAACTATACATTTCCTGTTTGTTTCGTATTGGTCTTCCCTAACAAAAATGTAGCCTCTAGGAGGTTAGGGACATGTTTTTTTTGTTAGCTTCTTTATCCTTAGCATCTAGATTGTGCCTTGCACGTGGTAAGTACCCTATACTTACAAAATGAAATGAACCCTGGAATACTTTATGAGTTCTGTAAACAGCTAATCTGAGGTGTGCTAATGAGGCAGTGGCTTAGTGGTGACTCTTAACCCCAGTTAGGGAAGGAGGAGAGATCTCTTCACTTCTTTAGCAACCCAGGCCCAATGTACTAATATTTCATGTAAGATTTTGCTTGGGGAAAAAAAGGAATTCTACTCTTTTTTACTAGGTAAATGTCTTAGTAAACCAATGACATAGTATATGGTATGGTATCAAATAAAGAGCAAATGTTCCTTTTCAATTACTACAGTGACCTAAGCAACCAATGCGCCTGTCTAAAAATAAAGATACCACCTGCCTATAGCTTGCACAGGAGGTTATTAGGGTTTTATTTCCTAAAAAATTATTATATTTAAAATGAGTACAATAAGAGAAAATATTACCAATATTATTAACAGGATTAGAAAATTAAAATTAAAAACAATAGCACTATATTCCAAGAGTACTCCAGGTACCATCAGACAAAAAAAAGAAGAGATCACAATACATTTTTTCACAGAACTAGAACAAAGAATCCTAAAATTTGTAATAGAACCACAAAATATGCCAAATAGTTAAAGCAATCTTGAGAAAGAAGAATAAAGCTGGAGGTATCATGCTCCCTGGTCTCAAACTATACTACAAATATATAGTAATCAAAACAGTATGGTACTAGAGCAAAAGCAGATACATAAAACAATGGAATAAGATAGAGAGCCCATAAATAAACACATCCATATATGGTAAATTAATCTATGCCAAAGGAGGCAAGAATATGCAATGGGGGGAAAAAAGCCTCTTCAACAAATGGTGTAGGGAAAACTAGAGAGCTACATGCAAAAGAATGAAACTGGACCACTGTCTTACACCATATACAAAAATAAATTCAAAATGGTTTAAAGACTTGAATGTAAGACCTGAAAATAAAACTCCCAGAAGAAAACATAGGCAGTAAGCTCACTGACATCCATTTTAGCAATATTTTTTTTTTTGGACCAGTCTTCTCAAGCAAGGGCAATGAAAACTAAAATAAACAAATGGGATTATATCAAGTTAGAAAGTTTTTGCAGTGAAGAAAACCTTCAACAAAACAAAATGGCAATCTACTGAATGGGAGAAGATATTTGCAAATCATAAACCCAATAAGGGGTTCAATTCCAAAACATATAAAGAACTTACACAACTTAGTATCAAAAAACCCAAACAAAATGATTTAAAAATGGGCAGAAGACTTGAATAGACATTTTTTCAAAGACGACATAAAGATGGCCAACAGGCACATGAAAAGATACACAACATCACTAGTCATCAGCAAAGTGCAAATTAAAACCACAATAAGGTATCACTCCACACCGCTTAGATTAGCTATTATCAAAAAGACAAAAAATAACAAGTGTCAGCAAGAATGTTGAAAAAAGGGAAACTTTATACACTGTTGGTGGGAATGTAAAATTGGTGCAGCCACTATGGAGGTTCCTCAAAAAATTAGAATAGAACTACCCCATGATCCAATATTCCACTTCTGGGTATTTTTCCAAAGAAAACGGAAACACCAAATCAAAGAGATATATTAACCCCTATGTTCACTGCAGCATTATTTACAATAGCTAAGATATGGAAGCAACCTAAAAGAATAAAATAAAATAAAATAACACACACAGAGAGAGGAATATTACTCAGCCATAAACAAGGATGAGATCTTGCCACCTGGCAACAACATGGATGGACCTAGAGGGTATTATGCTAAGCAAAATAAGTAAGACAGAGAAAGACAAATACTATATGATTTTACTCATATTTGGAATCTAACAAACAGAAAGACAGAAAGAGACTCATAGTTACAGGAAACAAACTGTTGGTTACCAGAGTGGGGAGGAGTTGGGGAATGAGCAAAAAATGTGAACAAAATTAAGAGGTACAAACTTCCAGCTATTAAATAAAGTCATGGTATGTAATGTACGGCATAAAGAATATGGCCAATAGTATTGTAATAACTTTGTGCAGTAAACACATGGTAACTAGACTTATCATGGAGGTCATTTCATAATGTATAAAAATATCAAATCACTATGATGTACACTTGAAACTAACAGGGTACTGTGTGTCAGATATACTTCAAATTTAAAAAAGCCCACAATTATAGCCTCCTTTTTGAAAGCATTTCTT